GGTAAATTTACTTTTCTCAATATAATAATTTCTGAACCATTCAATTGTTTTACCCTCATTTTATCTTTAATTATGGGTTCATTCCGCCATAATTTGTGAAATTCATCATACCCCATTATAGATATTGTTGCCCCTGTATCCAATAACATCGGAATTTTTTTATTTCCTACATTCACTTTTACTCTTGGACATTAATCAAAATTTTTATTATCTTCCAACTTTAAAATCGGTAAATTACTAATTTGCATATTCTTTCGTGTTACATTTTCCAACATATTTTTATAATCCCATAAGTGTTATTTCCATTTCCTTCATTCTTATATTTATATATATTTTCATTCAATCGATCCAACTGATTTTTTGATGTAACTCCTCTAAATGTTTTTATTTTAATATCATACAGTCATCCTACTGTACAATCTTTTGTATAATGACCAATATTACGACATTTAAAACATGTTATATCTTCCATATTTCTTTTTTCTATTTATCCCTTCATTTTTTCTGTATTACACTGCTGGAAATGTTTTGGAATTTCACTATTTATTTTTATAACACTTATTCTAAGTATGCCCAAACTTTCCACAATTTTCACACGCAGCTGTCATTCTTTGTTTTTCATTAAATAACTTGTATACCGGAACTTAACATTCCTCAGCATTATGTCATTTGTTTCCACATCTTTTACAAACTACTAGTAACATTCTTTGATTTATCCCTTCATTACATTCTCTTCTTATACAGGGCGGACTGGCCATAAGACCCGGTGGGCATTTTGCCCACGAGACCGCGAGAATGTCGATTTTTGAGGCCGATCAGAGGAAAATATCAAAATAGAGGCCTATTAGAAAAAAATTATTATTATGTTCACATTATTTTCTCTTATCATTTATTATTTTTAATGATATCTCTATGATTTGAATATCACATTTCTTGAGAATTGTCATGTCGTTTACTATATTTTAATGCATAATATATCAATAACGTCGCTTGTCGCTACACATCATTACCACGTTCTTTTCTTTGTTTTTTTCAAATGAAGTGAAAACGCTTCTGTTTGAGTAGAGTGAAAGCTAAGTTTTGATTAATTTATTATATTATATTTTATACATTGATTAATTGTAGAAATAATATAGCCAACATTTCTTGTTCTTAATTCATTGAAATCAAATAAAATCCAGGTCGGTGAAGAGGATAAAAGGATGGATGCTTGGGTAAAACAGAATAATTCATCTGGCCAAAATAAGTTGAGAAGGCTGCTAAAAATAGGTGAGATAAGGTGGTGGGCACGTGAAAAAACCCTTAGATGGATATATGGTAAAGAGAGCTTGCTCCCAATAACGATAAAGGCACTTCAATTTATAATAGATAATAAATAATTTGAGACAATAACTAGATAATTTATGTAAATTTATGACTCTAAGTACAGCTATAATATATTTGAAAATTTTTAAAATAATGGGGCCACTGTCATATCTTCAAACTAAAAAATTAGGTACTTAGTCAGCATGGAAAATGTAAGAAGATGCTAAATTTTCTGTATCATCGATTCAAAATAAAGCAATAAAATGGCTGCTAATTTAAATGAAACATTTTCATATTTATAGCTCCCGGAGAGTATCTGAGTACAAAATGCTCTGTAAAAAGGTCGAATAAGACGAGCGAAGAGAATATATAGTGACAAATGCCAAGATGAACGTCCTCAAGAATCGATTGACCTTTATAGGTTCGAACTATTTCGTCCTATCCGGAACTACTTTCTGCGAATTGAGAGCTTATCTTAAATGTGCAATATTTGCATCCAAGTGATGAAATAAATAGTATAGGTATTTCTGAAAAGGCCTTGGAAAAACTGGCACAATTGGCATATATATTGAGTGTTAAATTTCATAACGAAATATGTTCATTTGCCAGTGTATTCAAAGATTTGGTATCAGAATTAAAAGAAACGGACGATAATATCGCATGTACAAGTGAGGAGTCAAATGAAGATGGAATATTACAATATAATAAATCAGTGTGATAATAAATGTACCAAGTGTTTAATATGCATGTATGAAATTCTTAAAAGATACAAAATGCATACAAGTGACACTAATTTATTTTTGGCTTACGAATACATTTTAACTTTATCATTTACGCAGGTTAATTGCGAGAAAGCATTTAGTAAATTAAAAATTATAAAAATAAGCTGAGAGCTAATATTGACCAAGAAAAATTAGAAGCGTTTTTAATGATGTAAGTTGAACGAGAACTATTAGCATAGATTGAACTAGAAGATATTCTTGTATATTTGCGCAAAGGTTCAAAGTTAATGAGAGATTTATTAACGTAAAAATTATATATTTTCTTTATTCTTTTATTAGAAACTTATTAATATTATTTACAATATGATCGGTGCCTGATTTCATAAAAGTGCAGCAATTTTATTATCTGTAATATTGTATAACTGCAATAATTTTATATTTATAATTAATTGATTTAATATATTGAGTATCCATTTTTTTTATATTTAACATGTGATGTATGATTTAATTTTATAGTGCAATATCGTTGTAAATCTAATATAAAATATATATTTTCGATGAATATTATTTTACATAGGTAATGAATATGATATTAGATGTGCATTTTTTAAAAATAAAATATATAATTATCGTATAATACTATTCTTATTTTTACTAAAAATGTAAAACGTTTGAACTTATTTCCAAAAAATAAGAAGCCATTAATGGGGGTATGGGTGTGTCACCCCCATATAAATGTGGCCGCTATAAAAAAATGCCCACGAGGCCGTAGCGTCGCTAGTCCGCCCCTGTTCTTATATGACCATATTTCCCACAATTATAACATGTTCTATTTTGACCCGTTTCACCATTATACCTTTGATTTGCCTTATTCAATTTTTTAATTTCCCATTTCATTTCTTCAACTTTTTAAAGTAATTTTTCTTTTTCACTTTCCAAATTTTCTTTTTTTATATATATTTTCAATCTCTATTTCTTTTATTACTATATCCTTTGTCATATTTATTATTACAATTTCATTATTTTCACCTTCTATATTTTTATTTTCCATATCAATTTCTTTCTTTTCAGAATCTGATCTCTGTTTGATTAACATTAATTCCAAATTTACTTTTTTCAGAATCTCTAAAGATATCTGTTTTTAACATTCCATATTTTTCATTATATAATTTTTCAATTTATCATATTTTTCATTTTTTTCCCTATCCATTTGCTTTAACAATCTTATTTTATTCGTCTCCTTATTAATATTTCTTCTTTTATACCAAATATAAATGTTTAATATTAGACTAAAAACTAATACTAAATAAATACATTATGACATACTTTTGAAAGTTCTTATATTCTTTTTGTTGAACGTATTTTTTTTATACTTTAACTTATACCTTACAAATTATTTCAAGGATTTAATTTTTGTATATTTATAGCACTTATTAAAAATTTTATTTCTATAATTTTTATAATTCTAAATGAAAAAAAATATGCTAATGCAATTATTGTTAAAATAATTACTAGACAATACATTAAATTTCAATAAAGAAAAATATTGTACCTTTGATTATGAATTTTACCGTTTTTTTAAAAAAATCCTCGTATAGATGGTAGTAAGTAGTTATATCGAATTAATTATAAGTGTCTTTTTAACGGTACCACTTTTATGACTTTTATTTTTTATATAGATTACTGAATTGGTTAAGAACTCTCTAACTTTATTTTCACTATTTTTTTATCTCTTAATTAACTTAAAATAATATTGACAAACAATATTTTATTTTTAAACAATTATTTTATTTCTTTCTTTTAAAAACTAAAAAAATATTAATTATACAATTATCGATAATTTCAATATAATATATAATATAATATAAAAAATAAACACTACATTTTTAATAATAATAAAAATAAACAATTACATAATAGAATCCTATGGCTATATAATAAATACTTTAAAGTAACATCCTATTTTCAATAAAATAATTCTAACCTAGCCAAATGTAAAATGTGTCCAAATAGTACATATTCTATTTAAAAATCTTCCGGTTCCAATTTAAAGAGATATTTGATTGTAATATTTATTATTTTACATAGGATAACTATATCCTGTTAATAATTATATTATATTGTTGCTTATTAAATTATTATAATAGTTGCATAAAGTAAAAATCATTAAGTATAGTAAATACTTAGTAAAATATTTAATATCTTTAAAATTTATTTATTTTTAATGTGATTATTCTAAATTTCTTTCTTGTTTTATGTTTCCACAAGGGCTTTATATTTTAATAGTTGAACACAATTCAAATTATTATAATTTATACTTTTTATGAAGAATTAAATTTTATATGATTTATAAAAGTTTATCCATATTAAAAATTCTTGCGAAACTTTTTTTATATGATTTTTTTTTTATTTGTTTAAATTATAATTTTAAACATGCATTATGTTAAATACTATAAGGTAATTATTTATTTTAAATAAAAAATTTTTAAAATTTACGTCATAAGTTATAAACAAACCCTGTTTTTGAAGATAATAAAAACAAACGCGTTTAATTTTTTAAGAAATGTTTATAACACTACTAATTTTTATTTGAATAATCATTTTCCTCTTTTTATTAAACTAATTTTTATTATCTCGAGCAAGAGTTTACGTAAATTTCGATTTTTTTTTAGATTTTCATATTCAGTTTCGCCTGGGCAACTAAATTTTTTTAGCCTGAATCTGAGATCTGTATAGAGTATGTAGAGGAATATAATTTAAAATAAGTTAGACATTATTATAAGTATTTTACTACATTATTATTTAAATAAGAGACCTGTAAAATTGTCATAATGTTCAATTTAGAAATTTAAATTTTTTTATTACATTATAAATTGTTTTATTGTGCGACTGACCTGTCCGCTAAGTCATTTCTGACAGGTAAGATGTTTGAAGTCACATTATCTTTTTATTTCTGAATTTTGTTAAATAATTTAAAAAATGAACGGCTATCAACAAGAAATACTGGATTATATAATGCTAACTGCTAGTAACATTAATGATGAATTTGATAATTTAAACAAAAAATATTCCATGATTTATAATATGCTAGATAATTCTTATCAAAAACTTTTGAAAATAACTGAAACTGATGATGAGGGTGATGAAAGTGGTGCCAGTTATGATGAAGATTATTTAGAACCTGATAGAACTTACATGCATGATGAAACTAACGCGTCTAAGACTATACTGAAATCATATGACATAACACAATCTGCACAACCAAATCTGGATGCTGCTTTGAAGAAATATTTTCCAAAAAGTTTAGATACAAATTTTAGCAATGATAAAAATAGGGTATCATTTCATAATTCTAATAAAATTGTTCCTCAATCTTCTATTAAAATTATGAAAGTTAATGAAAATACCTCACAAGAATCCTTAGGAACATATACAAAAATTGATAATGATATTATGAAAATGGCCAAATATACACCACACAATTGTTCACCTAAATGTCTATCATATTTTTCACTAGATCCTAAGAACTTTCAGTCAGATATTAGTGTTTTATATATTCCTATTCAAACAGGATGGAATAGAATGATAAGAAATAATACAAAAGTAAATTTTCACTTCATTTTATATGAATGAAGACAATAATATTTTTTATTTAAGTTAATTAAATTTATGAACAATTTAGTTTTACTTAATTTATATAGCTTAAAAAATCATAATTGTACATTTTAAATGTAATTGGCTTACTAAACAGGGCCATCCATGGGATGAGGTTGGTTTCCAAACATGGCCCCTCGGAAAAAAATTTTGCCCCCAAAAATAAACACTAAATCTTTTCTGGGAACCCAAATTTAAAATTTTAGTTATTAAATTTTAATTTGCAATTAAATCTTAAGAAAAATACAACAAATTTTTAGACAAATATTATTTAATTTATATAAATTAATAAACAACAAAAATATACCTTTAAAAATATTAGTTATAAAATATCTATTCACTCATTAATTGTCTAAGTGATGAATTTGGACAAAATAAATTTAGCTATTGTTGTTCAAAAGCCCAATATGAGTCGATTTTTTGATATGAAGGGACTGCTATAAAATAAAAGCTCAAATTCTCATTTAAATTCAATAACAATATGGCATGATAAAAATCTTAATATAAATAAGGACAGTGAGATAACAACTGGTATCAGCAAATTAACCATAATTGTTATTATCTTAAATCAATATTTGATTTGATATTACTTCTTAGCATAATGGAGCTACTTTTTTGTGGGGCAGGTTTAATAAAAATTATGGATGCTGTAAAAAATAAAAACAAAATTTATTCTTTTGGAATATTTCTAGCAATGTTTTCACGCTCCATCCAAAAATATCTTGAATTAAATAAATTGTGTAATAAATATCCAAAATGCACAGTATACATTACCCTAAATTCAAAATTAACTCTAATTATTTCAGAAAAATGTAACAAAAGTGAGATGCTTTTTTTTGTCTTAAGACTGATAAGACAAAAGATTTAGGTTAAACCTTGTTATTTATTATATTTTTGTGGAAAATTTAAGAAAATCTAATAGGAATCATTAATTTAATGTCTTTCTGCTGAAAGCATTATTAACTGTATTTTAAAGCAACTTAATGAATTAAATATTAATTCATCAAATGTAATAAGCCAGGAATATGATGGTGCAAACGTAAGTCTGTCCAAAAAAAAATTAATTAAAATGTCCATTGCTATTATAATATTGTATTTTTTTAATTTATCTATGCATTGTATAATTTATTTAGGCGTTTTAATGTATCCTGTAAATACAGGCTATACTCTTAAGAGACTTTTAAACCAGAGATGGACTGGTTTTTAAGAAACATCTCTTATTATTTATGAGAATTGTGCGGCTATTGATAAAGTATTATTTTACCCTTCTATTTAACTTAGAGGTATACCTTCCAGTTGAAGCCTCTGGTCTTTTGTCTCAATGTGTTAATATAAATTACATTATATTAGCTAATCTACAGTCAGTAGGTACTAATAGAGTGAATTCTAAAAATTATATTAATTTGACTATTAATATATTAAAAAATAAAAAAGTGATAATTCTTTTGATTTGTTAAGAATAATGACTGAAAAACGTATATCAATATTTAATCTCATCCCTCAAAGATCATCAAAGGTATTTAAAACGCCTACAAATATTTAAGTTTTTTTTAGGCGATACCTAATTGTAATTTGATTGTGAAAAGGACTCCAATTATAGTTCTTTAAGAAGAATTATGAAATTATTGTAGATCGTTTTTTAGATAGATTTACAGAAGTTGATTTAATCTTCTATCATGTTTTATACATTACCCCCTCCTCCATGCTGATTATTTTATACCAGATAAAATGGCCCATTTAAATCATTATTAAACTTTAAATGTGGAAATGTTAATCATGAACAGAAATAGAAACAGCTGCAGAAGTTAAAGAAACTCATAATTTAAAATATCATAAATATTATGTTTAAAAAAATATCATCTTGCATTTACAGCAGCCATCATCATTGGGGTATCAAACGCTTCTTGTGAGGCTTCATTCTCAACATAAAGAAAATTCTATCGAGCACATCGACGAAAGATTGGCATAATAAAATTTAGTATTAATAGCTTATGAAATAAATACCACAGAATTTGACTTCTAATTCATTATTGTTAAAATTTAAAAATAAAAATTATCATATTATATATATGATAGCATTATTTTGTATTCATATTTACCTTTACAAATTTTTAATCAAAATAGCAAGAAAATTTCTGTGCCTAACTATTTGTTTTATTTCAAAAAATAGACACCCCCCCCCCCCCCATGAAAGCAGTTACCTCTCCCTAGCAAGAAATTTCTGGCTAGGCCCTGTACTTAAGTATCCAACATATATTTATAATACCATAACAAAATGATAACCTTGCAGCCTGACCTTTTTATTTGGACCGAGAAATTGTTAAATCCAAAATTTAGCCTCCTAGTACTATTCTTGATATAGCTTTATTTTTTTCCAAAGTTCCACAACATATTTTGCACAAGTTACCTAGCTCATAAAATTTTTAGCCCCCACCAAGTTTACTATTTCAATATTTAAAATATGGCATAAATACTTTTATTGAGAATGATAGAAAGAAAAAAATTAAGTAACTCATGCCATATTTTATATTGGTCATCTGCACAGCCTAGTCCAATGCCTTATCCACAGCCTAGACATGGTGTAATAGGGATTTTTGATTACCATAAATAAACAAAATGTCACTGATATAAAAAATATTGTTAATTTAATTTTTTACTAAATTTATCCATTTTTTTACTCATATATATTGGTAATATATTAGTAACGTATGTTTAAAGGTTTAGAAAAATCTAATAACTCATATTTGATTAAGGAGATTCTAGATATCATTATGAAATGCTAAAATTTTTTAAATCTAAAAAATTTAAAGTATATGCTTCATTTAATAGTAAATGATTATTTACAATTTCGTTTTTAATCAATGATTAAATTAAACCCGACTCATACAAAAGGTGATTTTACATGTTTTAACACTTGAAATCTCCAATTATATAAAAGCCCCAGATATCGGTAACATGAACCTTAATTTGTATACTAAATTTCATAAAAATTGAACAGGGTTTTCCAAATGTCCATAGATTTATCATTACCAGAAAAGTTAAAGGTTAATTTTTTTTAAATATCGGTGGCAATTTTATAAATTTCTTAAAATTTTTTAAATATGCTTCAATTAATGTACACCATAGTCCTACACTGGGCCTATTTTTTTTAGGCACAACCCAATTTCAAATTTTAAAAATCCAAGTCTTATCCGAGCCAAAATTTTATTTTTAGAAATAGGTACAAAGTTCATTTAAAATCCTGTTTTAATGAATTTTGTTATTATAAAAGTACGATTTATGGTTATTCTTGGAAATAATATTCTAAAATTTAGGAAAACATATTAATTAAATTAAATTTTATAGTACGATTCCGTTCCGATTCCAAAATAATTTTTTAAAATCATACTAAAAAAATTAAATTGGGGTATTTATGTTTCATCAAAACTCTTCTTTTTTTTAATCTTTATATTCTAAATTTTAGTTTAAGTTATTATAAAGAGCGATTTTATTAAAAAAGAAATGGCATACAGACTTTTTAATATAAAAGGTTTTCAATAAGTAATGTGATTCCTTCCATATAGATACACATTGACGATGTTTTACTAAATATGTGGTATTCATATTAAACGCCTTTTTCATTTCATTTTTTATATTTTTAATTCAGGAAATTCATCACATTCCCTACATAACATTTAGGATTTTCTGAATTATATATCATTCTAAATATTATTATTAATTATGACAATTTTAGGATATTTAATTTTCTTTATTAATTGAGACACATTTAATTCCATTTTTTTTAACAAAACGTTTCTACATTTTTTTTTATAACTTTATTGCACACATGATCTCCTAAGGTAATCTACGTTACTCCGTGTGGTCTGACCATAACCTCCTACCCAGAACTCCTCTCATATCTATCCATAACTTCTTGTCGTTTGCCAGTGGATTATTTTAGTTTTGGCCAGCATCTCGACATTACCCGCAATTTTGAGGTTTGTATTTTTTTGATATATGCATAAAAATTGACAGATGAATTTATTATAAAGAATAATGGTAAGGCACTAAAGACTATGAGTACAATCGAGATTTGGAAAAAATAGTTTATATATATATTTTTTGATAAAATTTTTGATTTAAATTTTCCATTTTGTTGTTTATTGCAAAAAAAGAAGGTTTTATAAAATTGCTTTTAAGTTGTTTTTTTTAATAAATGCAATTTTTCTTAAAATAACTTTTTTTTATAGCGCCAAATAGCTCTTGAGCCATTTCTAGACATATTTTTTCAAAGCGGTTTTTGGATAATATTACCAGCAATTAATTTTTTATTTCCCCCAAAAAATGTTAACTTCTCCAATTATATTTTTTAAAAAAAACAATTTAGATCCCCATTTTTTTAATCGTAAATAGAAAACAAACTGGTTTGATTTTAATAACGATTAAATGTCATTTTTAAAAATGTGGCTCCGGATTGATTTTTTTATAAAATATATTGTATAAAAAAAATTATATAAAAAAAATTAATTCTAGAATTTAACATTTTTTTGGAAATAAAAAAAAATTGCTGGTTACATTGCCCAAAAACCGCTTTGAAAAAACGTTCTGTCTGGAAATGGCCTTGGGTCATTACATGAAAAATTGGCCCCAAATATGCTATTTTAGTATACCAATTTTTAAAAAGAATAAAAATTATTCAAATAGATTCTGATATGATTTCTTGATTTTTTATGATTTATAACCAATTAATACTCCATAAATATTTACATTAATCACATATATCGTTTTATAACCCTTAAAGTTCTCCATAAGAGAATGCTAAAAAAATTAAAAAATATCATATTTACGAAAGCAAAAATAATTTTTTGAGATGATAACGCTTGGGACTCTAGTGATACTTATTTTCATCTTTTAAAATTTACATAGAATTTTCTAAGAACTGCCCAAAACTTTTTATCCAGTTCAAAAAATTTTTTTTTTCACTTTTCATGTAAATATCTTTTCTTGGTGATGTAAAGTGTTCACATATTATGAGGCATTAACCACTGCTATCTAGTTTTATTTATATAGAAGCACGCATACAGATTTAAACCTATTTTGGGGAACTAAATAAGATAAGTATAAATTGTTCAATTCATTCCCTTGCAGTTAGCCGGTGCGTATATATTATCAATATTTAACATTTTGCATGTTATGCTACGAACTGTTAACATGGATTAAGAAGCCTGATTGTAAAATCTTACATGACATAATTATATAAAAAGAAAAAGATTTCCAATTTTGTGATAAAATGATATAATAATTTTTGACTGGGATAAATATTTATCAGATATTTGAGATACATTAAAGATCTTGATTTGAACTTTGAAGGCTCATATCTTTAAATTTTTGGTACAGAATATATACTAAATTTACGACATTGATATAACCCCTCATACCAAATTTTATTCAAAAAACTTATATCCGAAACACAGATCAATATTTTAACGTGCATCAAAAACAAATATGGCTGTATTTTAGAGATAAATTATCACTCCTATAATCTTAGCTCAGGATATGTTATAAAATAAATTATTTTTTCCCCCTTTAGGCAGTAGCTAACGTGATTGATGAGGATATAACTAATAGGTCAGAACCAGTAGCCATCCCTTGCGTCAATAGTTTCGATTTTTCCTATCCTCCAGATTTCGTTTATAGTTCAACTCCGGTACCAACCGACGATGTTAAGTCAGTAAATTTCGTTTCTTGTTTGTTTTATAAAAATTAATTACATTTTTTAAATAAAAATGCAAACGATGATTTAAAAATAAAAAGAAATTTCCCTTAATAAATAAAAAAATACAATTTTTTTTATCAACTTCCAGCCCATAAAAACATTTTGCACAAGTTGCCTGGGTCAACGCGAAAGCATTTTGCCTGGTCTGTGAACCTGACTTTTGGAGGCGCCCTCTACCCCGACCCCAATAAATAACATTACCATACTTTATTTATATCTATCAATATATTTTTTTAAAATATATAACAATGTTTAAAGGTCGACTAACATTTCTCTGATTAATCTGCTATCATTTTGAATTTTAAAATATTTATCAGAATTTGAAAAAAATTTTTAGTAAAATTTGAAGATTTTAGTTTTTTTTTAAAAGAAGATTAATTTAATTTTGCCATAATTTTCATGCATAAATAATTTTTTCAAGATGAAATCAACATTTTATAAAATAAAATTGCCTTAAAAATGTTTCGAAGATTTTTTTTCAAACTCTGATTCATATTATATCAGAGATGCACTGATACACTTTCAATTATAACCGATACTAGTAGCCATTAATAAATCTATATTAAAAAAATACAAATTATCTAAATCGATAAGAAAGAAAGAATACTTTTATCTAGTGCTGTAAACGTTACTACAAAAAAGAAACGCGTTACCGTTACTCGTTACATCTGAAAAATGGAACGCGTTACCGTTACTCGTTACCATTTTACAAAAGGAACGCGCGTTACCGACTTTTCAAAAAAGTAACGGGCTACTCGTTACTTAAAAATAAATGTTATATATAATGCAAAAAAATATTTATTTTTTTCCGACAATATATAATAAAAACTATACAAAAAGAACATATAAAATAAGATCTTTTAATAATAAAATTTTCATATATAATTATAATGAATAAAATTATACAAAAATAATATATCATAAGATAACATCTTTATGTAACAATTTTTATTTATTTTTAACAACAATTGATTTTCAAAATTTTGATCAGATAAACATGAGCGCTTAGTACTCAACACAGCTTTCGCCGTGCTAAACACACGTTCAATTGGCGCAGAGGATGGAAGGGTGTTATATTTAATAAACAAAAATTTCAATTCGGGGAATTTATTAAAAATATCTAAGGAAATATCTTTATTTTGAAAAAAGCTTGAAAGATCATCTTCACAGAGATCTTCATTCATTTCCTCATCAAAATTTTTTTTATCTTTATCTGAAAATATTCTAGTATGTATGTTGTATAAAGGAATCAAGCTTGTTCTTTCTTTATCAATATCTTTTCTCAAACTGGAAATAAGTTCCAGCATTCTTCCTTTATTGACCTCTAATTTTATCCAGGGCCAATCCAATTTAAATAGTGGGTGAATTATTGCCGATAGTATATATTCATCATCATAGATGTGTTTGAATCTATTGAAAATATGATAGTCAAAATATAAATTATAAGCAATATTTGAACTGTATATCTTTTATCTATGGCTTCCAGGATTGAATCAATAATCGGCTTACAAAACTTAAAATTATTTAAAGCCAATTTTTTAAGTTTTGATATTATAATGATTATAGTGGGAGTGAGATATCCCAAATGCATTATTTTCTTCGCTCTCTAAAATTGAAAGAGTCGTAGCTAGCGAATACATGGTTAAATAATAAGATGCTATATATAGTATTTTAATAATAAAATCTATAATGAAATTTAAATAAAAATGTTTTTAAAATCATTTCATGATTAAGTTTTTATATGTTAAAAATAATTATATATTAATTAATTCTTTACCTTCAAATGTTTTTTTAAGTTTGAGCTACTTGACATTGACGTTGAAATATTTGCGTTGGGACGTAATTTACATTTACAAAGTGTAGACTTGGTACCATTAATTTTCTTAATTGGTTTAAAATATAATTCAAATTGGGGCCAGGAAAGGGTTAAATCTTCTTCATCCGAAGAAGTAAGTACTATGGACATAATATTCTTTTAAAATAAATTATAAATTAATTAATAATATCATTATATTTACTTTGAATTTTGATTGAATATTAATTTCGACTGATAATTTAACAACGAGAATTTTAAAAAAAATGTTGGAAGTGGTTGATATGAATTAAAACTCGGCTTAAATTATTAATATTATGAATTAAAAAATAAATAAAAGTAATTTTATAATACAATAAAATATGTTTTTCTTTTTATTGATATTTTTTAAGAAAAAATATAAAGTAACGTTTTGCGTTACCGTTACTCAAAAAAAGAAACGCGTTACCGTTACTCGTTACCTTTAGATGAAGGTAACGAATGGCGTCCTTTTCTTCAAAAAAGTAACGACGTTACTTCACAGCACTACTTTTATCAATTTTATAAATTAGTTCTAAATGATAAATAAATATATTTTTTAAAATAATTATAAGATGAATGAATTATGATCTTTGCTTTATCCTATAAACATCATGATTTATTTGTTGGTATCGGTATCAGTGATCTTGTATATTCCGTGTTGGTACCAGTTTGGATTGTTAAATACAAATGATTTAACTTTAAATTAAGATTTTAGTCATGATAATATTACTCAAGCCATGATTTTTCTTTAATAGATGTCCAAACCATTTTGTCACCTCTGAGCAAATTCTTCGGGCTTGCCGGGCCAGACGGGTCTAAAAAAATTCGAAATTAAAATTTCTTTGTGATTATGACAAAGCAATTAGATGTTATTTTAAAAAATTTAATTATAATATTTTAAATAAAAATTTCTAGCTGGGTTTAGGTTAAAAAAAGAAGAAGAATTTGTAAGGATTTAATAAGCCAATACTAATACGGTATAGGTCTATACCAAAAATTATAATTTACTAAACGTATCTTATAAAATAACCTTAAAATTAAAAAAATGTAATGAATAAGGCCAATTTAGGTATTCAAATTTATTTCTTCCTTTCGGGTTGTAATTAGTTTTTTGAAAGGAATCAACCTGAAGGAAAATATGATGAAATTGCCATTTATTAGAAGAAAACATAAAAGTAATAAATGCATTTTAAAAAAAATGAAATATCAGTCTGAAAAAAATAGAGGCAATATATATGATAAATTACAAAAATATTTAATATTTTTTAATAAAATTTAGCTTGTTTTAGTGCAAAAATGCATTGAAAAGTTATTCAACTAAACTTTTAGAGGTTTAAATAATTTAATAGCAGCAAAATGAAAGGTATCGTTGCATTTCTGATATCTTTGAAACTGTAAAAGCAATTTTTAAAAAATGGTATCCCATTTAATTAAAAGACAATATTAATGTTCGTACATTAAGACTAGTAGCTAACCTGTCAAAAATGACGGGTCACCCAGATTTTACTTCTTATAAATGAGTTTTGCATACCTTATTTTTGATTGTATAGCTTTATGGCGATTTATTCTTGTTCTACACAATTATTTGTGGATATAAATAAAAGTAAATTTTTGGTTCATAATCGGGCCTAATTTTTTAATCCTGGCCGAACCCAAATTTTTTAAAAAAAGTTTTACCTGCCCAGCGCGATTTTTTTTTATTTGTCCCGAATTATTTGTCCGCCCATAGAAATTAATTTTAGTATTTTACTATTAGCTTTTAGCTTATTTTTTATATCTCAATTGACAATTTATTTGGTATTTAATTATTAAACCATACAAATAATAATTATAATATAAATTGCACAACTATAAATTAGCTTCATATTTATAATTTAAAAATATTAAAGCATCAACATTTTCGGGTTTCAATCAATTTCTTCTAATAGTCTTCCTGTCTTTGAAAAAGTTCGCTCTGAAGTTGCGAACAGGAATTGCTAAAATCTTTCTTGCCAATTTTGTCATTTTTTATAATATAATTTCATTTTTACTCCACCATAATACATCTTTTTCCAGCTCTATATTTTTATGTATTCTCTTTTATATTCAAATTCATATATACTTCAAGCCATCTTTTTCCTTTTTTTGATATTCCTCCTCATTGACCTCTTATCTTTCATATTGATATATAAAAATAAATAGAACAATTTTGCAATTTATACATTAATGTACATTTAGATCTCTTAGGGGATTCCACAATTTGAACGCCTTTTATATCCAAATCTATAGTCAATTAGATTACTTTGTCCCTAAATAATGAAATAATTTCAAAATTTACCTTCCCTAATTGACATTACTAACTTCGCTGCGAATTCACGCTAACTATGATAGCAGAGTTATGCTAACCACATGCCGACATCAAGTACATTCGACGGAGTTCTTTAAAATTATACTACATACGATATAAACATATAATTAATTGTATTATATGGTAAAAAAAATAATCATAACATGAACATTTCGTGTAGGACTATCTTCATTGCATATCACGTACCCTATTCCACGCCAGTTATTAGCTTTTAATTTGTTCCGCGACATATATATTCACAATTATCATGTGATCCTTTTTATATTTAATTAAAGTGCACATTTTACCCCCAAAATATATAAATTTTAAAAAAATAAAGGTTTTTTTTTCCTAGACTAGCATAATAATTACAAAAGATAAAATATTTAATGTTGAATTGACGTAGTGTATTAAGTTTGTTTATTTTTTATTAATACTCTTCCACTTGATTTGAAAAAAATAATTATAAGGATTTCTCGAGACTCTGGCTTTCTTTCTTGTTGTTCCTGCACTGATCTGTGCCTCGACTCGGATAGTTGTGAATGTCAACGATTAACTGCCGATTCTGCCCGACGGATAGGAGTGGCTTTATTCAATAACTTAACCGGTAAATCTCGAACCGAGATTGGCTTGGCTAAAACCGGCGGGTAAAAGATATGATGAATTTGCATGAGAAAAAGTATTTGGTAATATACCGGGAAATAAAGAAGATTGAGAAGGTAAGAATGTGAAAAGAAAATATTTTATGAGTTTCAGAAGGAAAAGAAAGAATATATTATTTATCATTCATATTTAACCAAATCGTCAGTTACGTTTACCGCCGGCTGCTGGAGCCCCTCGGCACTGGCATATACGAGTGCAATTCCAACTGCTCATGCAATAAGCGAGCCTGCCTAAATCGTGTAGTTCAAAATGGGATCCGGTACAAACTTCAACTATTTAAAACACGACAGAAAGGCTGGGGCATCCGGTGCCTAAACGACATCCCTCTTGGCGCCTTCGTCTGCACTTACACCGGCCGGATATTAACAGACCGTAAAGCCGAACTCAATGGATATCAGGAGGGGGACGAGTATCTGGCGCAGTTAGATTTCATAGAGTGTGCTGAGTACTTAAAACAGGAGTTTTCCGGAGAAGATTATAACGATAACACAGGTAACGGTTGCGATTTAGTGGATTCGGTTGTCAATTGGGATAAAAATCATGGGAAAACAAATACTGGCTTTACAGGACGATCTTCACTCTCCTTGCTTAAGCAGCGGAACAAAGAAGCAGATAATTACTCTTTCCAAGTCTATGATAGACCGCCAACATTTAATCCCAGTTCTCAATATCCCAATCTCGATTCTAACTTGAGCTCGAATTCCGTTAAATCTACCCGTTCGTTATTTGACGGAGAACGCAAATGTTACGTCATGGACGCTAAACGCGAGGGCAACGTAGGAAGGTATACTATTATTTAAAAAAATGTTTATAAATTTTATCTTTACATTTTCGTTAATGAAGATGGAATTAAGAAATGTGTAATTCTTTTTATTGAATAATATGCAAATGCCACAATAACAGGTACCTGAATCATTCCTGCGATCCAAACCTTTTTGTCCAGAACGTTTTTGTTTCTGGTCAGGATGTCAGATTTCCTGCCATTGCTCTTTTCGCCAATAGAACCATAGTGGCTGGAACAGAACTCACCTGGAATTATGGCTATGAGGTGGGTAGTGTCAAAGGTAAGGAGATCGTATGTCGATGTTGCTCTCATAGATGTAATGGAAGGCTTATATGAGAATCATTCTAATTTAAAAGACTAATTATGTTATTTTAATTTGAATCAATGGTATTCTTACTTCTTTTAAATTATTTTTTTAATGTAATTTTTTATACAAGTTTATATTTAATTTTTGTATTTATCATGTCTGTATTTAGGCAGTATTAACCCAATCTATAATTTATATTGCATTTATATATTTAGGTGAACGGCCAAAAAATAATGATTAGTTAAGTTTTTAAATTGTAAATATTATGTTTCTAATAAATCCATTGTCGCCTTATGATGTTTAAAAATTATATAAAAAACAATTCCAATATTCACTAAATTAATTTCTAAATAATTTGAATAAGATTATTATTATATTTAAGTAATATAATAAAAATATAATATACAAAATTTACATAAATACGCATTTATAATGATAAGAGTATCAAGCAACAATAATATATATTAAATCTCTTTAATAAGAATAATTAAGAAGTCCAATAAGGCCTAATGCTAGTATCTATAATGTTCCAATCTGGAATCTCAGCCATTTTCGAATATATTTCACTGTCTTCTGATTCTCCTAGCTCTTCATTATTGTCTGTCCCTTCTATTCTGACTTCATCTTTATCGTCTATATTATTTTTATGTTTATAAATGAACAAATATTACAATTTCAAGTTAGTGAAAATGATATTTACTATATTCTTTTTCAAAAAAAGGGAGCTTAGGTACAAGTTTCTTTTTACAAATCATGGAAGATAATTTCCCCGGAAAAAATTTTCATAATTTTTTTAAAAGAATTCAAAAATGACTTTATCTCTTCCTCAGAAAAAACATTGAATGTTTTTTTGACATAATTGTAAATAGGCAAAAATTTAAAGAATATATAAATTATAATAATGGGAATATTTGTTTGTGTTTAAATTATTATAATAATGATAACGTTAGCAGCGTTTACAAGAGAGAAAATAATTTAGGTGATATTTAAAGTTTGAATTTTATCCTTATTAAATATGTATTAACCCTACCCTCGTATATTTCTACCATCTCTCTAACCCTAGGCTCGTTAGCTCCAGAAAAAACCGGTCCCGCCAGGAATCGAGCCAATAAACCCACTGATTCACGTGATATCATAAATTTTCTCAACCCATTGACCCACCAGCTGTCATTTAAAAATATGATTTTTTGGTATTATATCTAATTTTCATTAAAACTAGCTTTTTTGTAGACTAAAACTCAAAATAGCATTAGAGGAGACCGGGGTAAAGCGGTTGACGGGATGGTAACAATGTTAACCAGAATAATATTTTGAGCATAAATACCTTAAATTTGGTGTATTTTTATATATAATTTCCAGATGTTATTAAAGTATCTTGTTATAAAAATATGGTATCTACAGTTTCATAAAATCTAGATACTCTTTTCGAAGGCATCTGTATTTATTTTTAATACACTTTGATATAATTTTATTTTAGGTTTTTTTATATTAAAGATAATATTTGAGTTAAATTCGTTTAATGATATTTACGAGTTAATTTCAATACAAAAAAATTCTATCTTAAGCATGGCAACACGGTAAATTTTATATTATAATTAAAAAATATAATTTTTTAAATCAATATTTCTATTTCTTGGGAACCCCTTAGATGGTATAATATAAAAATTGATATATGTTTTGACACTTATCAAATTTTGAATTATTTTTTTTAAAATGAGTGTCGGGATTTTAACATGTTGATTATACCAATATAAAGTTTTTATTAAATATAACAACCACTCTGCCGTCAAGCGCCTCTGTAGAATGAGTTATTGTGGCTAAAATGTCTACACTCTACAGATAAACGGGGGTGCCTTAATTCTTATGATTTTTTTATAATGAAAGTATTAAATAGATGTCAAAATTGTAATATTTTGCCCAAAGTTGTGTTCAATTCAATTTTACCCTAGTTAGCCATTTTAAGGTACAGGGTAAAATAGAAAGAATGTCACATTTCACATAATTAAAAAGCTCCTAAATTATTATAGGTAAGGGTAAATCTTTTTTATTTTGTAGGTGATGATTGCACATTAATATATAATTTTGCTCTGTTTTACTTTTGTTTTTAAATTTTTATGGTAAATGCAAAATATTGGTCGTTTTACTCCGGTCTCTCCTATTAAAATAATATGGAGGCAACCCATCAAGATTTACCTTCCAACTTCTAAAATAATCTTTATCTTCCTTTAAAAGACAGGAATGTAAATTTCCCGGGAAACTATAATTTGGGGAATATATATTTTGATAAAAAATTATATAAAACAATATTAATTTTTTTTTCATCTTTCATATAAAATAAATAGGCTTATATTTATGAAAATAATTTAATTGTCGTTATCTTTGATTGAGGATTGGATTAATTCCGAATAAGCTTGAAAAGCGAGAATGAAATTAACCCTTATGATAAAATTTAAACATTTATTTGAAATTTAATCTTTATTCACGCTAATTAAAATTAAAAGAGAAAGTAGGTATTTAACATCATTTGGGAATATGTCTTAAAGAGATATTTTAAGAAGTTATATTTAATCTACGACTAGTAAGTTGACTGTCGTTGACACCTTGTAGAATTATAAAACCATATTTAATTGGAGTATTTACACATTGCTATATCATCCAAGTTTCTGCATGAAAAATGATAAAAAATTGAGAATATTTATCAAAAGTCCCAAAATAAATATAGGGGAAACTATAAATCTCCTACTTGTAACTTTCAATTATAGTGAAAATATTCTCTACGCTATATACCTATAAGAGTTATATGGAGTCCCTGGTTCATCAGACATTAAACCTTAGTAAAAAGGTGGTTTAAATATATTTCCATGTTAATCAAATTTTCAAACAATTTATAATTTAATCTATGACAATTTGGCCTATTGAGCTTATAAGGAAAACTAAACAATAGTTTACTGGTGCGGTAGATAGTAATAACATCAAATGTAAGAAAAATATCTTATTTTTATAAATACTTAACATATCATAATTTAATACTACACCATAATTTAGAACCTTAGAGCATTATATTAATTGTCTTTAAAACAAAATTAATTATAATCTTTAATAGAAGAATTAATGAGCAGATTACTCTCCATATCATTTTAAAAAATAATAAAAGCTTCACTTAATATGTTTTCATCATCAGCTATGTAGAAAATATTGAAAAAAGGTACAAAATAAAAAGAATACATCTGATACAATTTCCCAGCTAGTTTCCATATGAATAAAAATGTATTAATTGGATATTATCATTTAAGTTCTCAAATCACCAAAAAAAAATAGTATAACCCGGAAGTAAAATTATATGTATTAAGTTTTAATAAAAAAAAACGTTAAAATCGCGTTAATTGTTTGAACGGACTATAAATATATGAGTGGAAATTTTTTATCGCTAACAATTAAGCCTACTAGTATTTTAACTAAAATTTTCATTGAAAATAATACTTTTAGTCTTAAGTTGACTTGCACGAATAGCGAGATTTAGAGCGAGTGGTCTTGGTTCAAATTTAATGATAAAGGGCTTGATGGCATCGAAGCAGCTCATTCCTCCGCCAGCTCTTTTTTTGTAATCGTCTTGAGTTTCCTTCCTTTTTGTATAATAATTTTTATTATAAAAAAGTGTCAATAAAAAAATGAATTTTTTTGATCATACCTATTTTTATTATAAATATCCGTGAATATGGCTTAAAAAATAGATATAATTTTGGTATATGTTATATAATTAAAAATTTTCTTATATTGAATTATAATTTTGCTAAAGTGTTTATGATGTGGCCTTTTATGTCTGTATAAATAACGACAAAAATAAGATATTAACACTTATCAAATAAGTGTTTCAGAGTCATATTCATAATGAACAAACTTATTTTTGAGACCTGGTTGGTTGCGATGAGTCATAGGTTAGAATCTATGATTGCATAATTTTTTTCGTTATTACTTATCTAAAGTAGAGATCTGCAAATCATGGTCTGGCTTGTACCCGGGCCTGATCTATTTTTAAAATATAATTTCGGGCTGGGTCGGGCCTAATATTTTTTGAAAAATTTCAGACCGGGCCGGGCTTAAATATAATATTATTACATTTTGTCAAATAATTGATATATTTTAAAATTCTTGAAAGAAACAAGGTGCTATAATTTTTTATTTGTAGAATATTCTTTTTACAAAAGAATAATAAAATTCTCTATATCTAAATTCAATTCTCTATATCTAAATTCGGGCCAGGCCGAGTGAACAAATGATTTTTATTTCGGGTCGGGCTTTTTGGGACTAATAAAAGAGATTTCGTTCGGGATCGGGCCAGGCAAATTTTTTAAATAATATTTCGGATAGGGCCGGGCTTAGGAAATTAGGCCCGATGCATATCATTAATCTAAATTGAATGGTTTTAAAAAGTCATTATTTCACGGTAGCACAATGTCTTTCGATTTCTTTAAGATAAATCACAACTGTTTTGAAATAGCATTTTACACATAAACATAATGTGTATATATTATAATAAAAAACAGCTCTATAAAATATATAAACATAGAGTGCAATAACCTGTCCTTCCGACTAAAAATCTTCCTTGATAATGGCCCCTCATTACTGTTCAAAAAGACAGATGCCATTTTGCTTTTGTGAAAAGTGGACAATAGCAGATTATCAGGGATGACAGATGTGGTCGGCTTTACAAGGAAATTAAAAGAGTTCAGGGAAGTGAGTAAAATGGAAGCTCCGGACCAAGAGGCATAATTGGGTTTGATGTATTCGACGAATTTATTATGAAATGAGTTTGAATTGATCTCAAGATTTTCGATCGATTGAGAAGGGTAGGTAGGGAAGGTATTAGATTGATTGGTAGGCAAAAAGAATCGATGAAGCTTGAGGGGCTTGAAGTAAGCCTTGTCACTTTTTAGATAAAGAAAATTTTATCTGACAGATAAATAATTTTTAAAAAACACTACAAATAAACATAGATAAAAAATTGGGAGGGCTTTGAGCAACTTGTTTCAATAATTTCTCTTATTTTTTAAAACTTTTATATTTGGAGAAGAAAAAAAATGAATTATAAAAATATCCATATACTTTGAATAAATACACACCTTTTTTTTGAAATTTTAAATAAATATACTTTTTTCATATTTTGGGTTATAAATATGATTTATACCATTTATTATTCTTTTTTGTTTTGGGTTAAATAAATAAACATAAATTGTTGTGTATTAATTATTTGTTCTTCCTCTAAAAACGTAACTCGCGTCTAGGGGTCTATAATGAGCAGGTTTAAGCGAGAACGCCCATGCCGATTGTTTAAAAAAATTTATCTCGCTTGCCAGCCCGCCCATAATTTTCTGAAAACTTCTTTTAAATGGGAGGAGGCTATTTTTGGAAGGGAAATTTTTTGGATAGCCAATCCGGCCATCACACTATTTAAATATATTTTATAAGAGGGTATAAATATATGACACTAATTAGTAATTACTTGTAAGTTGGGCAAAGCAAAGTAAGCATTTTTAATTCTTGTTCCAGCCTATTTTTAAAACCCGGTAACGTGGATAATCCCCCGATAAGAACTAGATTTTGAGAAAGAGCCTTACGACAATCGATTGAACACTATGACAGAAAAAATTATGAATATAAACCTTAAGAATTATATAATTTTTTTTTTAACTTTCTTCCTTTTTTATCGCTATCTACATTGACTTTGCTAGAACAAATCCATCCTAAAACTTAGATTCGGCATATTTTTTGCTTTTTTTAATTTTCTTCCATTGTCTTTCTTATTTTATAAAAAAATATCAATAAAAATAACTCGAGAAATAGAATCTAAAATCAATGTAGGAAGCGTCTCCCCATCTATGTTCGGTCTGAAAAATATTTCGCATACGGCTTGCCTCATCCATCCCTTCAGGATTAATTTGTCACCCATATAAGTTGTACACAGGTAATCGTTTAGCAAAACATCTGATATATAATAAATAAAAAAAATTATTCGTAAAATAATTGAACTTTTAATATTTGAAGGTTCTATGTATAGTTAAAATTCAAAAAAATGAAATTTTATTAACGGTTTGACTAAACTGCAAACTCAAGGTAAACTACAAATCCTAAGGTATAAATTATTTACATACTCTATCAAGTTGAGATTTATTCTTTTATGATATAAACAAGTTACTAAAATTAATTAATAATTATATTTCCTTTAATCTATATCAGAGACCTGCAGGCCTGGCCCTAAGCCCGGGCCGTTTTTTAAATTTTTAAAATATACCCGTGCCGGGCTTGATATTTTTTTTAAAAAAATGAGGGCCGGGCCTGAGTTAGCCGTTTTTAAAAATCGGCTCAAAACGAGCCGTTTAACAACATTAGCTAATATACTTGCTTATTTAATGATAATACTCGCCGAAAAATATGATAAAATACGAAATAATGAATTTTTTGTATATACCAGGTCGAATATAATTTTTAAAAAAATCCAGGCTGGGCCCCAAAAATTTTTTTTTAAATATCCGGGCCGGGCCTAAAATTTTTAAACTCGGGCCGGGCCGCAAAAAATTTTTGAAAAAAAAATCCAAGCCGGGTCGGGCCGAAAATATTTTAATCTGGGCCGGGCCGTACAAATGGCACCTCTGCAGGTCTCTGATCTATATTAAATAAATGAACAACTTTCTAAATTATAGTATTTTTTAGAAAAAGTGGTGGAGTTATCTATTTTTCCAGTTTTTTTCCCAGCTTAGTTTACTAAATAAAGCTCTACTTGGAAAATGCCCATATACTAAAAATCTGGCCCGAAATATTTTTAAAAAATTTGTGTCATAGCCCGAACTAAAATTATTTTCATAAATTAAGCTCACCTAAGATCAAAGTAAATTTGGACCCCAAAAGGAGGGGTCGGGCCAGGCCTTGCAGATCACTACCATCTACCTCTTAGTTTCATGTTATAACTTTAAAAATAATTTATACCATTGGGAGTAAACTTGGCTTCATCTTCATCAGTAGGCGCAAAATCAAAAGTGGAATTTGATTGGTCGAATTGTTTGGAATTTTTTAAATCTGCTACCATGCAAACACGTGACTTTGATGATATATCAAAATTAAATGAATTAGAAACATGAGAGAGTAAATATATAAATATTTTAATCATATTGCGAGTTAAATTTAATGTTTTATTTTCATAGTCAAATAAAATTGGTAAGTAACGTCGTTATCTTTTTTGAGGAAAAAGAAGGCCATTCGTTACTTGAAAGGGTAACGAGTAATGAATTTATTTTTTGACTAACGGATTACTTTAATTTTTTTCATAATATTATAATAAAAATATTTAATTTTATTATATTTTTTTAATTTTATAAAGGTGAGTTTTTAATTCAGATCAACTACTAAAATTCCTCATTTTTATTTTATTTATTATATTTTTGTTGTTAAATTTTAAACAGACTTGACATATTTATGATTTATGAGTTAGATTTTAATTGCTTAATTTCTACTAAACATATAAATAAAAACAAGATTTACATTAATTTTTGATCACATTCGATTAGAATATTATCAATTTTGTGCTTGTTTTTGTAATTTTCGCTATTTGCATTTTGATTTTATCAAATAAATATCCCACAAAATTTTTTTTAGGCTATCATTTGGAAATAGTATTATAAATTAACTCTCAATTTTTTTATTTTATTAATCTATAAGTTCTTATATTTAAATCTAAACTTTAAAATCGGGTTTTCCTAGTTTTAAAAATTTTGCAAGTTGAGCACTCCAATTCTAGACAGACGGCAATTTATATTATTTAATATTATAATTATCTTAAAATATATTATTTTTGTATAATATCATTTTTATTATCTATGGGAAAATAATAAAAAGAAAATTTATATATAATATTTCGTATTTTTTAAGTAACGAGTTCCTTTTCTTACAAGGTAACGGTAACGCGTTTCTTTTTTGAAGTAACGTTTACAACACTAAATAAAATAATTTTTTGCGAGATATAACGTCATGTCTTATTTTAGTAAGTAATCAATAGGCGGGACAAATTAGCTTAAATTCCCAAATAACTCATCATATGAGTATTCTTCTTTCCTTCACTTTCCTAGGTGCCTGGGATTGTATAAAAGAATTGGAACTTCTATCCATCCATTTTATTGAATATACCCTTATCCCGTTTTGTTTATTTAACAATATTTTATTTTACAATTATAGTCTCACATCAAATAGTGAAGAAATACAAAAATTTAAGGTAAAATACATGAAAGAATACAAAATAAATTTAAAAGACAGGGGCTAGGAACAAAGAGATTTTGGCATTCCTGTTCCGTTCTGAGCAGAAAATGTGTGCTATTCCTGTTCTGTTTCAGGTTTCAGAATGGGTTTTTGAAAAATATATATATCTAATTTTATTTAAATTTTACTAATATACAAGTAAATTTTATTCATTAATCTATATAATTTAATATAATATGCATTATTACATATAAGCGTTAGTACATTCTTTAAAAGATTAACATTTATATTTGGGTAACAAAATATCTGTTGAAATTTATACCGGTTATGAATTCAAAATTTTAAGATTCGAAGCAAAATAGATAAGGATATAATTTAAAGTAACGGAAGAAAGGAGGAGTGGTCATATATATAAATAACACAGAAATATTAATGTTACATGATAGAAGAACTTATTAATAATCTTAATGTTTAGTTGGCAGAGTCCCTTTGCAAGAAAGGGATCAAAAAAAGATGTCATATGAATAGATTTAACTTATAGGATTTGATTATTATCCAAAACCAATTTTTTTAAAGAAATACTTCGAATATCTGGAAATACTGGAAACATTTTAATAACCCCCCCCCCCTCCCCCAAGCATTTTATTATACTAAAATGAAATATAAAGATGAAATCGTAAAATGCATTTGTCAAATATATTTATAATATTCCAGAATAGGAGAAAAATAACAGGCTGTTCTTTTTATTGAACACAGTGGAGAACTCATGTGATTAAAAAAATAAAGAAAAAATTTATAAAAAAAATGATACATACCGCTATATCTTCTACATATCGTATATCTTTAAAAAGTTTTAACGCCTGCTTATATTCTTCGTCATTTCTGACTCCTTCCAATGGATCATTCTGAGATTTAAAAGTATTCAAAAGATCAAGCAAGATATTTTGCAAATTGAGGGTTAGAGCGTGAAAGCCAAACGCTTTAAGCTGACTGTTATTAATTTGCTTATTTTAGTTTAAAATAATTTTATTTAATAATGAATGTAAAAATTGTAAAAGCAACTATATTATTTTTATTTATTTCTTGAATTACATAATATTTTATTTGTGCAATTAAATCTGAAAAGCTCACACGTGAGAGTGAGAAAAAATCGTTTTCATTCTGCTCCATAATTAATTGCTTATTTTAATTTTTAGATTTAAAAAAACCTCGTCTTTATTTTGAGTAGAGAGTGCCGTTTTAATGTCATAAGAAGGACATTCTACGGCGGCTGAAAGTATTGGAAGTCCCGAACAGATCGGTAGGATAGTAATTTGAGAATAACCACAATCTATCACCACCAGGCAATCCGGATTAGTATGATTTCGTTGAAGGTTCGATTCAAGATGCTAAAATTCAATAATATTTTAGGATTTCATAAGGAATAAGGGAGAAGAAAGAATTTAGAAAAAAAGATTAAAAAAAATAATGTAATAATGCGAAATATAAATTTGCGCAAAAATGCCCCCCCCCCCATTTTGAAAAAAATAAACTATTTTTTCTAAATATTATTTTTAAAAAATATTTTATTAAGTTAAGAAGAATAAGAACTATTAAACCACCGTGATAATAAGAAATATTGGCAACAATGTGTATGGTAGGGTTGAGAAGAATCAATCTTAAAAAATAATAATTTATTTATATTGCACATTAATACAAACTTGCATTTATATAGTTATTTTTATTCTATAGAGACCTTGTCCTAGTTGGTATTTCCAAACAGCATGCTGTTTAATCGGCTATATAGCTTCGACTTAACAGTATAAGGTCAATTCAGCGAAACACTTTTTCGCGAATGTTTTTATCGCGAAGATTATATCGCGAAACCAATTCCGGGAAACATTTATAGCCCAGAAGGCCATTAATGCGAATTTATTTCAGAAAAACCTTAATCGTGAATTTATTAGAGCTAATATATTTTAGCCAAACTTTTATCGCGAACTCGTGTTTGCGCGAAGTCATAATCGCGAGCTCATTACCACGAAACAATAAATATATAGCGATATTGATTATTAATTTACTCACAAAAGTGCCTATCATAAAAGCGAAATGTTTTATGGATCTTTTGTTACCTATTGTCTATTAAGAAAACATGTAACCTTTAACTGATATGATAAAAATTATTAACCAATATCTTTCTGGGCTCTTCTCACGCATGAAGTGCGGAGAGGATGATTCAGGCTTTTATCCCAATAAATTTAACGCCCCCCCTTCAAATAAAATTTTAAAATGTTCTTTATGCCATTAAAAGTAAGTTTGAACAAAATTTTTGAAATGCTAAGAAATTTTTCCAATCAAGATAAAAAAATAGTAAAAGCTAAGAATTTTTGCTGGTTTTCTCAGATTATTTTTTAAAAATCGTAGAAGATTTTGCTAAGTAATTTTTTATAAATAATTATTTTATTCAATTTTCCTAGTTAATAAGACATAGAATAATGAATAATTTTAAAACTAAAAAAATCATGCCTATGCACTTAAATAAAATAAATAGCAAATATTTCTGAGCAATATATTATATTTTCTAAGGAATTCAATTCTGAGAAAATTAAATTTTTAATTAGCAAAATCATCTTTTGGGAATTCAGTAAAAATTACTTTAAGTAATTTTAATTCTGAGTAATTAAGGAAAAAAATAATATACTTAGTCACTAACCTGCATTTATTGTAGTTAAGCATTACATATTGGCTTAAACTACAGAATTAGTGTATGAAAAGTTTGCAAACTTCATGCTTAAGGCTGTGTCTAAATATTAGATTCAGATTCCTATTAAATTAAACAAAAGATCATAAAATCATAAGATTTAAATTATTTTGAATTAGAGAAATCATTTATTTCACTTAGATGTAATTTATTTTTGAATCACCATTCAAAATTCGTTATAGTCTAATAGCATATAACTCTTGGTTAGTGACTGGCAAAATGATTGATGATTTTTTACATATAAGGACTTCAGACAATAAATATTGGGGTAAGCCAGATATCAATTTGGCCAATAAGGATCTAGGTTTAGCTAATGAACTCTATGATTAATATATTAATAAAGCCTGAGTTCATTTTGCGCGTTTTATAAAATAGAGGGACGATACCAAAAAAATCGTCTGCGGAAAAATAGATGATGTTGAATTGATATAACCAATAAATTTTAAAAATTTATTAAGGCTAAAAGAAAATTAAAAATTCTATCATTGAATTAATCAGGTACCTATTTTTTTTAAATATTATTCAATTAATATGATCAAAAATAAATGTTTCAAAATACAATAGTCATTGTTAGCAATTAGTGTTGTTAATCGGTTAAATTAGTTGGCTAAGAGACGACTAACTAATAGGCATAGTCAAAAAAATCGACTAAAAACTCGAGCGATTATTAATCAATCTATTTAGTCAGCTTAGCTGACCCATTTAGTCTATTAAATCGAATTTTTGAGCCGAACTTGCGTCACTCTATAGTCAGGGTAAAAATATAAATTGTAAACATGTTTAATTGAGATTTTAGGGAAAATGAACCATAGAAAAGTGACAATTGTTATAATCGTTATTTTTAAACTTTTAAATAAATTGTAAACATGTTAAATAGAGATTTTAGGAAAGATACACCATCGAAAAGATTGCAATTTTAATTTAATCAAAGCATGCTAACTCTAATAAATAAAATACTTCGGTTGTTCCCAAAAGATTAGACATCCAATTATCGCCGCCTTTATCAATTCCTTCAAACTCAGGAGTTTCTATATCATCCTTTTTATCTATTTCATTATAAGCTATGCCTGCATCATTAATTTTTAATCATATTTAAAAAACATTTAGAAAAATTAAGGTAGAGTGGAGGGAATATGAGAACGGTAAAGTAAAAGGTCATTATATCAAGTAAAATTAGAGGGTTTCTCTATATTATAATTATGACTTTTAAATGTAGATAGGGTAAACAGATAATCCATAGTCCAATGCCAAGCATGTGCCTTGGGCATAAGTGGGCCAAGCATTACTTTAAATGTTTGATACATTTCATTGCACAGGTGAAAAAAAAATCGGGCGAGAGAATATGTGGGGTACCCTGACCCTAATTTAGAAACATTATATATTAAAGTCAAATTAATTCATAGCTTTCAAATTTTAAAGATATATTAAATAAACTACAAGCTAATGATTTTAACTGTTATTTTAATAATTTAAATTTATTTAAACAATATATGACAACTTTTGTCAAGGGAGTCAAAAAGGTGACAAATTATTTTAAAATATGACAATGTGATATAAAAAAATTTATAAATAAAATTGTTTATCTAAGGTTCATGCTCATTTATGCTTAATATATCAATGCCAAAAAAGATGAAAAAATGTTACACAAATAAATAGGTGGGGTCTATGCAACCCCGAAACCCTTATAACACTGAAAAAAATAAAAATTATTTTGCACATTTATATTTGACCTAAAGAATTTAATTACATTTTTAAAATGACTGGGGTCTGCATCCACCTGTGCAATGAAAGGTTAAAAACACAATTGTGTATAAATTTCTAATTCCATTCACCTTTAAGACATTATCATGGCAAACATATCTTCTAAAAACGATAACAGCTAGAAATGTTTTCTTAATCACCAAATCTGGCACCTTCAATGGCTTCAAGGAGAGGAAGGGGCTAAAACTATCTAATAAGATTTATAAGCGCTACCTTAAAAGCCACCCCTGGCCTTAATGAAAATCCTGGATACACTTATAATAGTATATATGTTACAGTCAATCCAACAGGGATGTATTGCTTCCTATTTTATTCTTAGCCCCTTCCTCCTTCCAAATTTTGAGAAAGGTTTGAAGCCCACCCCCCCTCCTATCAAAATTTCCCAAAAAGTGTTAAATTTGAATCACTTTTTGTCATAAATTTTAAAATTTTTTAGCCAGAGGGTGCCTATTTAACATAGAAGATTGAGAAACAAACTGTAATAGAATCAATTAACCTTATTAAAATTATTTACTATTTTTTACGATAGTTCACATTTTTATTTTGTACTTAACTATTAAAATAAAAATTTTGATTTCTCTCATGTTAACATAAGGATAGTAAATGGTAAAATAAATATTTTTTTGAAAATATTAATCATATTAAACATAAAGCAAAAATAAAGGCTAATATAGATCATACTAGTTGGAGAAGAAAACAATAATAAACAGTGAGGGTTTAAAAATTTTGACTTTATTTCAGTGGTGCTGACTCTATGGGGATGGGGCTCTCATTCCATTGTATTCTATAAAATAAATAATTAACCCATTAATGTTTTAAAGATAAATTTTTCTTTAAAAAAATTTATAGCCACCCATTAGTAAATTCCAATGGTCACCTTTATTTTAGTGTATTATATTTAGATTTTTAATAATTTTACTGTTTTCTAAGTCTATTGTGGTAAAATCATGAACATCATAATCAATGGCCATCAGACAATATATAGTAGCCAAATGAGAAGGGATAAAAACAAGTGATTCAATCCAGAATTTCTTATCCAAAATAGCAGCTACCACTCGTTTGAATGTAGAAGTCATGGTTAAAACATTTTCTAAAATAGCCACCATTTTAATTGATGAAGCTGCATGACTAGGATCTACCAATAAGGTAGAGAAGAAAATGTGGCGTAGGAAGGATGTAACAATTTGTGGCAAATTATAAAGGATAGCTATTTTTTATATAGGTTAAAAAGAAATATTAGTAAAATAATTGGTGATATATATTGTAGTTAACTTACATTATTATTTACTTCATTAAACATATGTAATTTACTTTAATATATATTTTGAAATACAAAGTATCTTAAAATTTAACCATTTTCCCATTATTTAAAAAAGGTCGATATTTAATTTTATGTACCATCATCTGGGGCTATCATATATCTACTAATTTCTGTAGGAGTTTTAAGAAATGCATGAGGATGAAGAGTCCCTGCAAATCCACATTTGGTATATGATGTGCCTATGTCTAGTATGACATAAGGGGGATGTTTTAAATGTGAAAATTTATCCATTTTTTATTTCTAATCTTTTGGGAACTATATAACGTTTAATCAAAACAAAGTAAAGTAAAAAATAATACGTGAAAAGCTACTCCCGTTAGTGTTATTAAGAAATACAGCTAAGCATGTGTTTTAATGAATGTAGGAATCAATGAGAGTCATTGGTTTAAACCTGGATAATATCGAAAACCTTAACAGTCTGTTTCAGTCATTAGGTTGTTAAAAGTCCGATTCGGGTCGATTTAAAAAAAAGGCCCGAGTAAGATTATAACCAAAATAAAATTATATAAGCTTAAAGATTTTACACATAGCTGGCAGAAATTCTTGGACATCTATTTGCCAAATCTCGATGCTTACATAATATTATTTTAGCGAAAATCTTAATCGGGCCATTTTGAGAAATCGACCTAAACCGGGCTTTAAAAAAATAGCAAATTAGAAATGAGATTTAAAAGAATTTTGACATTTTTTTAAGGTGTGACTAAATATTTTCAAATTCTTTACTTAAATTATTCATGATCTATTTAATTTTAGGATCTGCTAAAACTATCAAGTAAAGATTTCTAAATTAAAGATAAAATGAATAATTATTTATATTTCAAGAATTTTAGCAAAATATGTATATTATTGATAAATACAGGGAAGGGCAGATATCAAAAAATAATTAAATTTGTTTTTTATTTTTTATTAATACTAATACTGATACTTTTACAATTTTATATATATATATCAATTTTAATTTACACTTTTTACATAAGTTTTTTAAAAGGTTAAATTTTAACAAATTCGTCCTTAAATTAAATTAACATTTACGAAAATTAGGAAAATATAAAAGGTCATTAAATAAATTTAAAAGAAAGAATTTTTACAAAAAGGTCATTAATTACAAAGTAAAAAATGTATAAAGTTTATGAAAATTTATATATTAACAATTAAAATTTTCCGATGTCCTAGCTGCGTCTTCATTATTATGTCATGTCATGGTTCATGTCATTGTGACGTCATGTAATCACATAAGTAATAATATGATTTGTTGTAACACATTTCCATAATGTAAAAAAACATTCTAATATAGTTAAATAAATTTCCAAAATTATTGTAAAAAACATTTTGATATAATATTTTTAAAATTTTTTTTAATAATAAAGGTTTTTAAACTTTAATGAAAACTAACGTCAAAGTTATGAATCGAATATAGTTTTTTTGTATTTTGGACGGACATAAGTTTAATTAAGAAAATGAGAATTTAAAAAAAAAATTCTAAAAAAAATTTTCTAAGATTTGCAATTACTTTTTTAAAAAAAAATACATTATAAATATTTTTAAATTTAAATTATTATTCCAATATTTTAATTTTACTTTCGAGACAGTAAAATTAAAAAAAAAACCGTTTATTATTTATTTTTTCTATGTATCAGTGGCGTAGCTAGGAATTTTCCTTAGAGGGGGTCCATACATATAAAAGCTTGGGGGGATTCGCCCCCAGACCCCCTTTAAAGGGCCTTCGGCCCTTTTGCCCGGTCTTCGGCCGGGTTTATCAAATCATAACCATATCTTAGATAATATATAAAAAATATATTTTTTAAATGCATCAATAATTTGTTTTATAATTTAGTAGCTTATTCTCAATGACTTTGTAATAATACTATCCAGATAATTTCAATAGTAATAAAATATCCTTCCACAAACATCAAAACCAGAAAAATATAAATATTATTGGTATTTATTTGATATAAAGTCACCACTTATAAGTCTTTTGAACGTATAATCTAAAAATAAATTTTTGTTCTGGGAGGGGTCCAAACCCGAAAACCACCCCCGTAGCTACGCCACTGCTATGTATATAAAATATTATACAATATAAATCAATCATTTCAATCATTTAAAGAAATGCATCAAATTCCTTCAATGAATTTTGTGGCGTGAGATAAAATTTAGAAAAATTATATATAAAATAACTGCTCTGTTAATATGACCGATTAATACTAACCTTTAAATTGTTTTTTTTTATGTTGATATAAATTGATTTTTTTATAAATTGATAGATTGATTTTTTTTTATATAAATTTTGATATATTTTGTTATATAAAGCAGATTTTTTTTAGTTTAAAGAAAATGTAAAATTTTAAAATATATTGTATAAAAATTAAATTATTAATTTAAAATAAAATAAACAATCTTTATATTAGAAAACTTTATGGTTTCATTTTTATATTTAGAAAACTCGTATCATCACTTCAAATTTTCTAAAATACTTTATGCTCAAATTACGCTTAAAAGTAGCAATAACTTCTATTCGATTAATTGGTTTAGGATGATTTCATCTGTATTGATTTTTAAAAATTCCGAAAAATTTTTCGATCAGATTTAATTGTGGAGAATAGGGTGGTAAAAATATAATATTTGGATAATTTTCACTAATTATCCTCGCTCAATAGGAGTATTATTATTATAAACAATGAATTCGATGGTAAAATTGCATATAATTCATCGAGGTATTTCTATGGCAGTGAACGCCCCATCTATAATTGTAAATTTTTTCAATCCACTTATTCCTATTTTGCATAGGACTGATTTATTATTTTCTTTGGAGGGAGGTAACACAGCAGATGACCTTTTCCCAAGAGTACCCCCATTCATAGTGCGAAATAATATGGGTATTAAACGTCCAGGAAGAATATATTTTAAAATGAAATATTTTTCATCTAGTCACAATATTCCTTTCGAATTTGAATTACATCTGGAGAGTTTCTACTATCGGGTTATTTTCAATCTTTTTCCGACTCCAACCCATTAATTTAATCTGATATAGCTGACTCGCTCCATCTTAGATGTGATGGTAAATGTTCTAGAATGTTTTTAATGGTATACCAGTTATTATTACCAAACAATTCAGCTATATTCGATTGAAGTTCTGTGTTGTCTCTCTTCTTCCGACCTCGTTGTTTTATTATATAGTCAGATAAAGGGTCGTCGTAATATTCAGGGAAAGTTTCTCGCTTGAAACAATAAACTGAACCAATGGATAAATTTAGATCAAGGGAAATTGTTTTTGCATTGAGCTGATCATCAATTGGCTTGCTCAGACATATTTTAGCCAATCCCATTTTTTCATCGCCAGTTACCATTTTTTTTTCTCAAGCGAATAGGATCAAAATTTGGTTGCTCCTGAATATTCTAATATTGACTACGATTTGTAATATTAATTAGATATCCAAGGGAATTTGATGGGGTAGCTGAATAACTTTGGTATCTATTTGTTATTTCAGATACCTTTCCGAGAGAATATGAAGTTTCATTATGTGTATCTAAAATTATGTAAATAAAGTTGGTAAATAATCGAATATTATATTAACAAGCCTGAAACTGGAGATAGATTCAAAATACTAGCGATAATAAATTTTACATTTAAAAAAAATAGAAATATAGTTTTAAATTGTAAATTTAAAAAAAAATTATTATAAGTTTAAAATAAAATTGTTGCAAATTTAAAAAAGAATTATTAGAAGTTTTAATTTAAGTTAGATTACCGGATTTTATAAATAATAATGATTTTCTCGCCATTTTCTTTCAAGTTTTTAAAATATTTTTTAAAAAAAGATGTGTTTTTCTCAATAAGTTTTTACAATAATTACGGAAAGTTATTTAACTATATAAGAATAATGTTTAATCGAGATATTAGAATTAAATGGGACTTATTAAAACCGTTGGAGGAGAAGGAGAATAAAATAAACATTACTTTACCACGATATAGAACCTTTAACGTAGGAGATTTTGTTTGGTACAAAGTACAAGGTGATGACAAATGGTGCAAAGGCATGGTCACACATAAAGAAAGTGACATGATGTACCAAATTAAGACAGAGAAAGGTATTTTGAGGAGACATTTAGATCAAATAAGAATTAGAAACTGTTTTAACACACTTATTAATTATGACTCTAAGGATTCTTTTAAAAAGGGAAGTGTGGACAAAAATATAAAAATTACTGATAATAACGATATAACACCTATTTCAAGACCTGTGCGAATTAAACAAAAACCTGTTTATTTAAAAGACTACATAACTTAAAATATAAAATAAATATTAAAATGCTTAAAGTAAATTAAATATTAAAACGCTTACACTAAAACGCAAAAAAATGAAAACGCTGAAAATATTATATAACAATCTTATTGGTTTATCATTCTTCATTTATTCCTATATCCAATTTGATGAACTATTATTTCTCATTAATCACAACTTACTGATGATAATAACAATTTTGAAAAATGATAATAATAACAACTGAGCATTACAAGCAAGCTATATGGCAAAATCTTGATTTATAAAGACAACTTACGATAAGGACATCAAGCTTACGATTTAAACAAACCAACGTGCAAAATTGATTAAAACAAACCAACGATTGGGACAAGCCAACGATATGATGACTTGATGAACAAACTAACTACGATTAAACTTATGTGAAGGCTTTTTAGAAGAAGGAGAATGTTATATATTCAAATTTGTACTGTTATTTCAGTTTTACTTTTTGACTTACAATTCAATTTATTCAAATTATATTGTTATTTTAGTTATAATTTTATTTTATAACTTAACCTTTTTAATATTATATTCTAATTTTAATTTGTAAAAATGTTATATATACCTTATGAATAAGAGAGTTTATACTCTCCTTAAAATCGTTTTTCTCTTCAATAAAATATCCCAATAATCTGCAATTTATCTTGGCATTTGAAGTATACCTAGGCAGCAGTTTTCTCAAACTCGTAATTAATTTTATTATATATATAATGTATTCGTTAATTAAAATAAAATTTAACTCAAATGATTTATCATAACCAATAAAAAATTTAAATAATCCCAATCTAAAGCTTTTAAATTTTATTAAGATAAAATTAAAAAAGTATTTTTACCATCCTTTGATTTCGCTTTCAAAATTAAAATGAACTATCGAAACATTAAATTAATTGGGAAATAAACTTTCACTATGTCCACAAACAGCGTAAAAATGAATGTATATTGAATTAAATAAGCTCAATATATTCTATTAAATATTTTATTTAAATTAAAAATTTATATTGGCTTTATTTGGTAAAAAAAAATAATAAAATTTATTTTATCGTTTGATTTCCTTTTTTAAGTAAATTTTTGTTTTGTT